GCTGGGCAAGGCTGACTCCTGCCCGACCGCGAGAGCCAGTGCCTGCAGCCCGAGCAATTCATTTCTGAATGAGCACCGTGACAGCTGGGCCTCGTACCAGTGGAGCAAAACTGCGAGCTGGCAAGAGTGCGTTGGGCTTTATAGATAATGTTTTGGGAAGCATTTGCCACATGGCATAGAACTAGTCTGAAGTATGATATGCATACGTGGATGGACTGTGGAGTAGATCCAAGTGAGCGTGAAGCTGAAGCAGGGATGCTGCAGTGCAGGGGATGTTGTGGGCATGAGCCTGAAAAACCAACAGCAAAGAGACGTACGTAGGGGTTGCTGGCTGGTGTAACACAGAGCAAGGTACCGTGGGCTGCCTCAGAAAAAAAGCGAGCACATCAGTACTTAGGGGGTGATCATCATCATTCGAGACCACACCAGAGTGAGTAGTTCTTTAATAAAACGTGATTAAGGAATGAGCATCTCAAAATCTGATTTGCACACAAAATATGGTTGGCTTCATGGAGATTTTGTGGAGATTGGCGCAGGCTTGTGGTCGCTGCTGCGTAACGGCAGCAGCGGTGGAGCGAGAACGTGGAGGTCGCTGTTTGGCTGTCACAGGAGCTGATGCTCAAGTCTGACCTGTATGGTGTAGAGGGGGTAGGATAACTTGCAGACGTAGTACAGCAAACAATATTGGAAATTAAAGGTCAGGGAATTGATAGTAAGGCTTAAGAAAACAGCAATTAGACTGCTAAATTACCAGTAGTAGGAGTAGGGGGAAAAAAAGAGGATTATTGATCTAAATATCAAGTTGGCAGATACACAGAGTACAATCTAGAGGTTTTTTACACCTCTGGGCTTATTCAACCCTCACAATAAAAAATGCAGGCCTATAAAGATGGAATAAGAAGCAATCAATTAGGATGGCATTTGCTTGTTTCCGCGCTGCAGCTGAGCAGGCACATCACAATTAATGATTTATTAGGAGATTTTCGTCTTACACAGATTGCTGCAACCAGACCGCAGTTGTTTATTAATTTGCCCGCTATTCAAGCGTCTTTGTTAAATACCGTGTGCAAAAGGTAAACAGTTGGCTCGCATGCCAGCATTGGGTTGGGATCGTGCCCTTAAGCGTGGAGGAGCTGTGGGTTGGTACTGAGACTGGGTGCCCGCGTGGGCCAGCGCAGCCCCCTGCGTGCCGGGCCCCCCGGCTGTGCGTCGCCCCGTACCTAGAGCAGCAGAAGGTGGTGAGGGGTGGGACACCCCACGCCACATGCACACGCGTGCTCGCTCACGCTCATTTTGGCTTCTCTCGACCAAGGGGACCTAGAGAGAAGATGCGGCACTTTGCGGCAGTCATAGCTGTCAGGGGGAGGGCTCAGAGTATAAGAGGACTGAGATGCCCTCATTCTTCTAAGTTAATCCATTGCTATAGGTCATAAAATACTCATAATTTCTCTCGGCAATTCAGCCCTACTTCTGCCTGGAACAAGTGTGTCGTCATTAGCAGGTCTTGGAGACAACACAAAAAGCTTTCCCGCAGACATCCGTGTGAACAAGCCATTGCTTTCACAGCTTTTTAGCAAAACCAGCTAGAAAACAAAGTAAGACTATTGGAAAAAAGGAATTCCCTTTAGAAGGAAGCCTGAATAATTATCTTTGTATTCATCCATCTCAATTCCACACCTCCCTAGGAGTGGCTGCAGTGAGCTAATTGGTTTTACTCTGCTGTGCGTGTCTTCTCTGCCCAGGCTCCAGATTTATTGCACAAAGTCAAGTCACTGTGTGAACCCCTCATTTGTCCCCCCCACATCAAACCCTTTCTCCTCCGGAGCGATATTTGTCTGCGTGTATATATGCTGTCAGGTACCAAGCGAGACAAAAGACAAACTCTGGGATTAACCAATTTTAGCATAATCTGATGCAACCTGAAAATCAGAATGAATTATTACCTTTTCCACAAGATGTGACTTCACATGGGCCAGCTCTAGAGGAAGGAGAGAAGGACTTTTGCCAGCACAGGCTTTTCTGGGAGGGGAAGAAAAAAGACCCTACAGAATTTAAGGATTTCAGAACATGCCAGGTTCAGAACAAATCCCTCTCTCAGAAGGGAAGCAGAGTGGGTAACAATCAGCCGTAGAAATCCTTGTGAATGGTCTTCAAAAAAAAAAAGCACTCTGGAAATTAAGGACTTCAGATGCAACAATTGAAAGTGAAGCTAAATGAATTACAGGGCAATATGAGTAAATGCTACAAGCATAGGTCATGCACTGCTTTATCAATCTTATGTTTACTTCAGCAGCTCCTCCGTTGCCCATTGTTTTACCTTGTTTGAATAGACGTGCTTCGCTGTTTGAAAATCAATTGTAATCTTATGAAAGGGAACTTACAGCACAGGGAATGCTGCAAAGCAGCCCGGTGAAAGATGGCATTGCTCGTTATCCTAAATTACTCCAGGGTAGGGAGGGAATGACATTAAGGAAGTGTGGGTCGCTTTGAGCTGCTCCTTCCTTTAGCAGATGTAATTTAATGTCATTGCTTAATGTTATTAAAGGTAAAGACAATTGTGGACAACACACATTGCAGCATTTACTTATAATAATGATAGTGGGGGAGTGTTAGAAGGAGGAAAGACGGGCTCCGGTTTGGATTCCCGGTAGCTGCTGATCTGTAGCTGATGAAAATTGTTCTGTTCTTCTTGGTGCGTCTCTCCAAGATTTGCTACTTAACCTGAATAGCTTTGGATGGCTCCTTTGATTCCTGTGTTTGTACCCTACTCTCACCAGAAAAATATTTGGCTTTATAAGCGTAATAGACAACACCCACCCTCGGTGCTGCATGGGACTGATCATTCCCTATCTCTACCTAAGAGGTATCAACAACAGCTGGATGAACTTCTGGATTGCTCAGTATATGCAGCGCATTGCGATTTTTACCCTAATGGAAAAGCTTTATAGACTGTCATAATCTTCCTCCAGGCTTTATATTGAGATGTGCTTGTGTATTTATAATTTTTTATATCCCTCATATTTTTAAAATATGTCTCATAGTAAACTTTATCACTACGGGCCGAAAACGGATGTTGTGATGGCTTTTACAGAAGCTGCTGTAAAATCTGTTGGCGATTGTGTGGGATTTTTCCATGTAACCCAAGCTCCCTGGGCAGCAGCTGGGTTACGGGGTACCAGAGATGTTCAGCAACCTGTAGGACTGGCCCTCTTAAATGTCCTCAATACCACTGATGGCTTGCTCTTGATGAGTTAATTCTGTTTGGTTCTGCAAGGCATAAGCCTGGTAGTAACGGATGAAAAACTGTGGTCCTAGGTCAAAGATTTGAGATGGTTGCACAAAGTGCTTATAAACTCCTTTGAAATTACAATGCGATACCTTGGTGTTAGCAGTGCAGCCATCCCCTAAAAGAGATTGGGGCTCATCAGCTTGTCATCACTGGCATGCCATACAACGTTAATTTAATGTAATGGGCAATAACTGGGGTGGATTTAGGAAGAGACGATCCTGCTTAACTAATCTCCTTGAGTTCTTTTGAGCAGGTTTCAGACAAGGTTGATAATAGGAGTGTACGTGTGACATAATCTAATGGATTTTTCAAGAGGCTTTTGATAAATTTCCATATATTTCCCCTGCTTAAGCTGTGTGCTGCAGAGATTCCAAATTAGGCAAGGGGGAGTAAAAAATGAGTAAAACCATGGCAAATAAAGAAAAGAGAAGAGCTGTAGCATGTACGGGAACTAGAATTACCCTGCAGCTTCCCACTGCTCTTCCCCACCACTCAGCATGGCTGGAAAGAGATGCCATCTGCATTCACTAACGAAAACTTGTTTAGGACAGGTGCATAACAGAAAAGAGGGCAAAATGCCATTCAGGATACCACTAAAGGGCAAATTTAAATTTACATTAACATAAGGCAGATTGAATATTTCTGCTGTCAGTGGTGGAATAATATATCCTGAATATAAACGCACATAACTGAAAGACTCCAATGGATGGGTATGGGTTAGGAGTGGAAGGGGACTCTTGTGCTAACAAAGGAATGATTTATTATCATTTACATAACCTGGCATTTGTGCACACCAAAGGCCAGATTTTCAGAAGTGCTCCTGCAGTTTGGGGCCAGGATTCAGTTGCGGACTCGGAGCCAGCCGCTCCCATCATTTCCCCAGTGTTTAATTTGCCATATGTCAATCAGAGTGTTGATTTGCAAGTACTGCTAATAGGCGATGCTGAGAGATGAGGGCAGTTGAAAATTTGGGAATGTGTCTTACTGGCAGCTTTTGAGCCCCAACCACCGGAGGTATTCACAGGCCAGGATCCCTGATCAGCCCCATGATAAATCGAGGACTGGAAAGCAGGAAAGAATGGAGCAAACGCATCAGGATATGCCTGAACTGGACATGCTCCATGTAAATCAGTGCTCAATGAGAGAATTAAGCACCAGGAAAGGCTGTGGCAAAATCACAAGAAACACTTTAAATAATGAGGCGAAATCAGATCAAGGGCAAGCAAGAGAGAAAATGCAATAAAGTCACTGAAGAAGCAGTAAAATGCCATCACTGAAATCTGAGAGAGGCAAAATACCTCAGGTTAAAGGGACGTAGTCACCCTAAAATCTGCACATTTTAGCTGCCATTTTTGCCCAGTGTTGCCAATTAACTCTCTGATTGCTGTAACAGAACGAGACTATCAGGAATATTTTTTGTTCGTCTTCTTCAAGCATTCGCTGAAACTTGGGCAGTGGCTGGGTGATGGTGGGTTTGTTCTCCTTTGGGCTGAGAGGTGAGACTAGACTTGGAAAGGTTTGGAAAAATAGTCAAAGAAAAAAACAGGAAAAGCGGAAGTGAGGAAGGGTTGTGTTGGTCGTAACGTACAACCCCGAGGTCCTCTTTGTGGGACTGATCCCTAGTCAACGTGCTGATATAGGGGAGAGGAGAGGTAGCTGTGAGGACCAACAGAAAGCTCCCACCGTGACCGGTCCTGTCTTTTATCTGCAGTATTCAGGAGAAGTTCCTGAGAACAGAGTGGAGGTTGTGGTGGCAAATCTGACGGTGATGGACCGGGACCAGCCTCACTCCCCCAACTGGAATGCTATCTACCGCATTATCAGCGGCGACCCCTCTGGCCATTTCACCATCCGGACAGACCCCGTCACCAACGAAGGCATGGTAACCGTCGTGAAGGTAAGGGGGAAGCCAAAGCGTGTCCATGTTTGTTACCCTTTCAGCTTGCTAAGGCCACAAGTTTTGCCAGGAGCCTGCAGTTATTTCCTGCCTTCTCTACCTGGGAATGTCTATGCTCAAAGCTGTTGTTTCCTGTCTCTCTCCATGCAGAAGCCCTCAATACTTTTACTTCAGGCATGTGCCACTGGTTCTGGGTTTCCCAGCTCAGCCTAGCCCACCGTAAGCTTTCGTAAAGTCTTACCTGCTGAAGGCTCTCCTCAGCATCCAAGTCTGACCTCCGTGTCCTGCTCCTCCTAAGCTTCTTGAGTGCTGCAAGAGAGAACGGAGCCCAGGCTGTGCAGCCCTGCCCGGCCTGGCCCATTGGGGCAGAGGCTGTACCTTCTCTTTTCTGAGCCAGAAAACTCCCCCATTAGTTGTGATTTTCAGGGGTAGCATTTCACTGCAGGGGATCAGTCAAGTGATCTTGAATGCAGGGAGTGCAGGAGGGATCTCAGGAGCAGTGAATTTCCTGGTTGCAGAAGGAAAGGAGAGGTTTTCCTCTGAATGAGTTGCTTGGCAGAAAAAAGTTGGAGAAATTTTCCTTTTCCTCGTATCAAGCAATAAATGCACGGGATGGGCCACATCCTCAGCTCAAAATAGCTCCAATCAAGTGAAAGCCAAGGTTAGATCAGCAGGGGGTCTTGGCCAAAGAGACTAAGAAATAAGACTGTAAATAGCCACCATCCCTTCTTTCCTCCATCCGTTGCCTTCAGCGTTAGAAGAGCAGGAACCCTCAAGGTATCTGCAGCAAGTACCAAATTGTGTTTCCCTCCTTGACTCCAAAGAACGTGACTTTATTTTCATTTGAGCGTTTGCTTCCCATTCAGTTACTGGGGCCAGCAGCCCAGGCAGCGAATGCTTCTGCAGTCATTACACACAGTCAGAACATAACCGGATCCATTCAGCATTCACTGAATCTTTTCCCAGATAAGATGCCTATAGATGCTCCGTCTGACTACCAAAAAAGTGAAGGCGTCACGAGTAGGCTCCTGTGATCTGTAGCTTGCACGACACGCACCGTGCACTGCACCTGAAAAGGATAACATGCTGTGATGGACAAAGCCTGCATCGTTTGATAAGTCTGTCCTCCTCTAACAAAAAGTTTTAATCAAAAACCTAGGATGAAACAGTGATGTTTAAAGAGCAACGTGATTTAAGAATAGCTCCGTGTTGAAAAAAAAAGCCCCGCTCGCTTGTAGCTAATACGGTGCAGTCATTCCTAATACTTACAGTTTGGGTATTAGGAAAAATGACATCAGTGAAATGCCAATGAGGTTACGCTGGTAGGAACGTGTGAGCTTGTGAGCTCGTCCTGTTCTCTGACCCTTGGGCTATGTGTGTGTGTGTCTGCAGATGCCACTTTGCTGAAACTTTAAGGGAGACATCACCTTACCTGCTAGATGGTATTTCAGCAGGGTCCTTTTATTTATTGCTCTGTCAGGACGGCTGACAGCCTTATCTGGTGCAACGTTACAAAACCTCTTCAAGCTTAGCAGGAGTTCTAGACACGTGTGTCTGTGTATATGGATGCATATATGTATATAAGTATACACGTATCCGTATGTATATATTTTCTGCTTAAGCAGAAGACATTCAACAAAGGAAAATGCATCAGTTTGACTTCCATTGACATCAGCAGCCAGTCTGAAATTGGAATGCCAAGGTTTTCACTGCGAGCAGGGGAGGAGCATTTCCTCTTCATCTAGGAAAGTGTCACGACTGTAGTTTAAAGGCACATCAAAGTGAACAACAGGGGATTTACATGATCATCACCGCTGCACAAGGACTCCCGCATAATGAACCACCCCTTATTCAGAACTTGCAGGCAAAAAGCAGGGCAGATTTGTCAAGACACCGTTGACGCTGGCATTGGCTTTCCGCTGTTCGGTAACCCACAGCCGTCACAATGCAAAGAACCACATGAAAATCCCATCTTCTCCAGCTGAGCTCAAAGCTTGAAATTGCAATGAATGTCTTCACTGTGTAACCTCACCTGATCCTCCTGGGCGCCCAGAGTTTCTTACCCTGATCAAGTCGGGAGGCTTTTTGGTGTATTTTCAGCAAGGAGAAGGAGTGAAATTGCTTGTGATTAAATTTTCATGGTGAAGAAGGGAGGACTCTTAGGATTCCACCTTCTTCTTTGAAATATTTTGTTCTCTGTTAATAAGTGAATATGCTTAAATGTTTGGGGAATGTGTGCACATCAAACTGGGTGGCCAGTCAGAGCTTGTTCTTCATGGTGCAGGAGCAGTCTCTTGCTGGTTTGATCCCTGGTGTAGGTTGAAAACACAGGTAAAAAAATTGTCAGGTAATGAACCTTTTATTTACGGACTCTACGTGGCTGGGTTTTCACATGACTCTTTGAAGCCGCTTGTACGTAACTCCCCATGGCTGCAAAGGGGTTTGCACCCGGGCTACGGCAGCCACCGAAACAGCGCAGAGAAGGGCAGGAGCCCGGTGGTTTCCTGCATTGGTTCCCCCCTGGAGCTGCTCAAATCGCCCCCCGGCTCCACCTGAGCCCCTGCGGGGAGGGAGGTGCAGGCTGGCTGTGGGCAAGGTTAGCAAACAGGCCAGCAGAAAAAAATAATAAAAAAAAAAAAAGTAGTCTGGAGGAATATAAATTAGAGGGGAGTGAAAAGAAATTGAGACGATGCATTAGTCAAATTGTTTCAAGGCCTTGAAAAGTGTTTAAATGGGAACTTTTACCATGCGTCTTCTTTGAATGCGGTACAAGTCCATGAGTCAGTGCTGGTGGGTGTACTGGGAATCTTTATGCTTCCTTTTATTTATTAAATGTTGGCCCTGCCTGTCAGGAAACCATTTAGCAATAGGAACATTTGCACTTCAATCGAATAGAGATTCTGCTGTTCTACCTTTTGCCCCTGAAATTTGTTTCTCTCGTGTAGCCTCCTATGATTTGATTTCTCTCCTGACAATACCGGGGTTTAAACAGAACACGGAGGCCAGATCTTGCTGATGTAAATCAGCACAGCTCTACCGAAAGTCAATGCAACTGTGGCATTTTACACCGTGAGAGTACGCTTTGCAGACTCAGCGCTGGAGAAGGTATTAGGGAGAACGGTTACGCTTATAAATTCATAAATTACAGCAAAGCATTTCTTAACAAGCAGAGGTGTGATCCTGCATAACTCAAGCCTCCCTGGCAGATGATTAGCGACTTCCCTCATAATAATTAGTGGGATGGTTTAGAAATTATTATTATTATACTGCGGTTCAGTCAGTTGTGCCAGCAAAGGCTTTTCACTCCTTCTGGCTCCTGAGACTCACTGTCTTCATGTACGTGTTGAAAAGAGATCTGTGGCCACCCAACAGCATAGTGCATCCATGGGAGCGTGCAGGCACCCTCAGGAGACACGGGACATTGGGCACGAGGTCCCACTGGAAGGATCGCCTGATTCACCGGACCAAGCGTTGTTCCTTGCGGCTCCATCTTTGCTTATAAGCTGACCTAAGAGGAAAAATTAAGAGCACTTCAGGCTCATGAGTCCGTATAGACCATCCTGCTTACTTAGTCAGCAGTCTTAAATGCAATAGCACTGTTAAGTACCTGCCCTGTCCCTCTTAACAGGGGTGAATTTGTTCATTCAATGCTCAACTAACACAGGCAGGTGTTTTTTTTGGAAACCACTTAGCGTTGGAACAAAACACAGGGCAAATCCTCCTTGCTGTTTGCAATTTTTGCTTTGAGTGGGTTTCTTAGCTATTTGACCCTCCAAATACTTGAAGGCCAAATCCTCCGCTGGATTGAAGCTGGTCTGGATTTACACCTTCGAAAGGACTAAGCTCAGGAGGAAACGAGATGAGGCAATGACTTTGGTATCGTCTGCCTTCTAAATCTTGCAGCTTTCAGCCAGAAGGTAGAATTTATATTCTCTGCTTGGCTCTATATTTGCTTGTTTGTTTGTTTTAGGCAGTCGACTACGAGATGAACAGAGCTTTCATGCTGACAGTGATGGTATCAAACCAAGCTCCCTTGGCCAGTGGCATCCAGATGTCCTTCCAGTCAACAGCAGGAGTCACCATTTCGGTCACAGATGTCAACGAAGCACCGTATTTCCCAACAAACCACAAGTTGATCAGGCTGGAGGAAGGGGTGCCTACGGGGACAGTCCTGACGACGTTTTCAGCGGTGGATCCTGATCGCTTCATGCAGCAGGCAGTAAGGTGGGAGACCAGGCAGGCCGGTGAGCACGTGTACGGGCAGGGGATTTCAGCTGCAGAATTTCGGGGAGCAAAGCAGCTAAAAGCTAATTCACAAACTAACTGGCGTGATATGAGTAAAATGCTTGGCAGGGACTGGCACCCTCAGTTGAGGGCTTGCAGAATATCTTGCAAGCTTGTAAACTCGCAGTCCTCCCTGCTCCAGGTAAGCCGTACTCCAAGCATCTGGGTCCAGGAGGGCAGAGAGAGGTGGATCCTGTGTTGTTGGCTTGCAGAGGGGCAGTTTGCAGCTTCAGATGCAAGCAGTCAATGGCATGGGGTCCCTGTGTTGTTCCAAAGACAGAGGTCAGGGCTGCGTTGTACTGCGTGTTTTGTCTCTGCCTCGGTCAGGGATGCTTTGACCGCTGTTGTTCATGCACTTTGTAAACACAGCAGTTTAAGAAAAGGCAGCTTTGTTGTTTCTGTTTTACAGGGGGGAAACTGAGGCACGGAAAGGTCTAGGGCTAGACTTCCAAAGGGAATAACTGGGATTTTTAATCATGTCTTGTGTTGCTTCTAGAGGATTTAGGTTCAACCTGGCTTAAAGGGCCGTGTGAGAGGAGCTGTCAGCCCGTTCAGAGCAAGGCTTGCTTGGTTACAAACAGCTGCTGAACAGCCTTTTAAGATGTTAAAAATTGCCCAAGCAGTCAAACACCCATGTAGATGCCATTGGGATTTGGTCTTTATCTGACCAATGCCCATCCATACAAAGCACCCAGCAGCCCGTGCCCACTCTGCCAGGTTTGTTCCAACTTGCCCTTTCCATTCACTGCTAACCCTGTCCTCCCCATTAGCTTCTT